CTCTTTCCACTTTCCATCTACCTAGATGGAGGGAAAGGCACCAAGTGTACAGCTCCTTGATTCCCCAGCTTTTATGAGACAAGTGGAATGCCTGCACAGGACAACAAAAATAAATCTTATCCTAGAGAATATTTAGGATAATATCAGTGTATTCCTTCTGCTTGTTCCCCCTTCATTGACATATTAATCATAACCTGCTTGTCTTCACTTTCAAGGTCCTTTGTGGTTTGCCCCAGCCTTCTTTGATTCATTCTTGAAATTGGATCCTGTCTCCAGCTGATTAATGATGCCAGCCTCCATTGTCCACTTGATAACTTCTTAAACCAGCAGATTTGGGCTTTTTCCAGTATGTCCTCTTTCACTTGCAAGTAGCTTCCTATAAACATCCACAAGGTCATGACACCTATAAAATCTTGAAAATTGTTTGGGCCAGTATACAAAACTCTGAATGAAAATTTATACTACCTCTAAAATAAAACCATCTGCAAATACAGTGTTGCCTGTGTGTGTGTGTGTGTGTGTGTGTGTGTGTGTGTGTGTGTACACTAATGTGTGTCAGTGTCTGAAAAAGAAGAGTATAAGAAAGACATGCCAAGTATTATTTTTTCTCATTTTCAGTTTTAGATCCAGTGGTTGCTCATGTGAAGAGACAGCATGACATTTTGAAGTATGACAGAAGTCCTGATGCTGCAACAGAGGCTAGGAATATTAATGGCCAAATCTAGGTGAGTGAATTCAATTTAGTTTCACCAGTTCTCTGACTTCTGCCATATCTTCTGCCTATCCTTTTCTCACTTTGGTGCCATACATTCCCCGAAGCATCTTTGTAGTGCATGGTTACGTAAAGCAGTAATCGCAGGATATTAAGGAGGAAAGAAAAAAATCTTCTGTTTACTTGATTACATTCCTTTTCTTCTGGTTTGTGTATCTGTTTATTATCTCTTCTTGAGATGTCATGTCAAATTTTAACTGCTGGGTCTCTTGTTAATTTTCCTGAGTTGCTTTACAATTTGATTTTGTCTTCCAAGTTTGCTGGCACCCCAGTTCTGAACAGTCTAACGCAAGATTCAGCAACCTTTTAGGTGTGGTGAGCTAAGTTAATGGAGCTCGGCCCAAAGGTGGGCCACCACTTATAATCTGTCCATTATTGCTGTCATTGGTTTCACCACCGCTAAATTGCCACTGATCCTGCTGACTTTGTGGGCTGGATTAAATCTTTTGGCAATTCAGATCCAACCCAAGGGTCTGTAGGTTTTCAACCCCCAAGCTATCACATTGGATTATAATTATGTTTGCACCAAAGAAATACTGTGAATTCATCAATGCATGCTGCTGCTTAGTTCTGTCTTCAGCTTGAGCAAATATTGCTGGATGTCCCAAGACTGAGCTTTATCCAACCACAGCTATCTCTTCTTGAATACTACCAGAGTTTTCCACTTTATAACTGTAGAAGTGCTGCAGACCACAGTTTGAGAACCTTGTCTACAAATGTGTTTATGCATATTAACTTTAATGTTCTACAGCTCCTTGTTGCCACTTCTGCTTTAAACAATATTTTATCAGAATAAATGAGGAACACCGTCAATGGACTAGCGCAGAAGTTGGCAACCTATGCCTGTAGGCTGGATCCAGCCCTTGGAGTCATTGGATCTAACCTGCAGAGCTGGACTTTGGCATTCAGTAGCAAGACTTTAGCCTGCACTAAACCATGGCTGGGTGATGGGAGCCTTCCCATGCTATGCTGCAGCCAGGGGGCAAGAAGGAGGCATGATGGCAGCTGGGTTCTAGTACCATGGCATTGGCCCACCTTGGATCAGAGATGGACCATTCTAGCTCGCTGCTGGAAAACATTGCCAACCATTGGACTAGAGGGAAACAGACCTGAACCATAACTGTACAGGGGGAGTTTTTATGGTGGGGCTTTTAAAGGCAGGAAGTTTAAAAAGAAAAAAAAAAACTTGGCTAGATCCCCTCTGCTGGCAGGATGGGGGATTGGGCCTCTCTCTACCACTGTAGCAAGCAGCTGTTTGGCCCATGCACTTGCCCTACTGCCTTCACTACTAGACCTGTTGATGATGCCCCATGCTCTGTTCCTTGAGCCAGATCTGTTGTTGCCTCATACCCTGTGTCATATCTGCTACTGCCCCAGGCTGGACCTGACCCATGAAGAACCCCAGAGTCCAGATCCAGCATGGGATATTGACACCCCTGCTCTAGTAAAAGTGGGATATGGGAGGGGTGGAGGAGTGAGAGAGATTGAAAAAGGTAAGAGGACTGTCTGGCCAACAGTTTAATAGTAAGAATTAACTGGATTGACCAAAAGAGAATCCAAGTTTCCTCTTTATCATTTGAAAGAAAACAATACGTCTTTCTCTTCAGAACAATAACAAAAATGCAGTCATTCTTTTAGTTTGAGTAAAATTGCTTTAAATTGTAACCATTAGTGAGACCAGAGAGAAGTATGTGTTTTTGACTGGTGGCTCCTCTCTGTACTTCCCAAATTGTCTGACTTGTTAAATTTATTTCTGTCAAAAGGCTTCCTGTTAAATTATCCTTTTCAGTTCTATGGACTCAGTTGGATACTAAGCAGATTTTGTGGCCGAATCTGCGAATCCAAATCAAATTGGGAGACCCTTTAATTTCTCCGGATCAAATCAGAAAGATTAGGTGATTCGGACACAGATGCAGCTTTAAACGTTTTTTCTACAAACTTCTAGGTAGCAGGTGGCTCATGAATGCTGCGATGTTGGGGCGCATGGAGTGTCCCACAAGCGCGGGGAGCTGCCCAGCGTGCTCGGCAGCAGACCCGGAAGTGGCCCAGAAGCACATCCGGTCCACTTTCAGGTCTGCTGGGTAGCACGCTGGGGTGGCTCCCCTGCAGCCCCCCGGCTCAGCGGCTGGTGCCTCCTGGATCTGGTGGGGCACCTGGGGTCCCCCCCCATGGCCGACTGCTGAGCCGAGGGGGGTGGGGGGGCGCATGCTCCCCAGCGGACCTGGCACTGGACCAGAAGTACTTCTGGTCCAATTCCGGGTTTGCTGCCAAGCACGTGGAGGGCCCCCCTGCACTCCTGTGGGGCACTCCATGCGCTCCAGCATCACAGTGGGGTGCTCCATGCGCCCCAGCATCACAGCGTTCACGAGCTGCGCTGGTACCTTGAGGTATGTAGAAAAAAATACTTAAGGCTTGGCAGGGAGTCGGACTTGAAGATCTGCTCAGGTCCCTTCCGACCCTACCAACTATGAAAGCTGTGTCTGTCTGAATCGCTGATTCTCTGAATCAGCATCAACTTTTCAGATTTGGCTGAATTGAATCGGGGACAGTGATCCGAATGAATGGATCAAATCACTGTCCCTGATTCAGGCTGAATCCGAATCAAATAGGGCCCGCTTCGCACACCCCTATTAAATAGCTATTTTTATGTATTTATTTGTTTTTAAAATAAAAAGGATGAGATGCTGTGCTGTAATTTCACAAGTATTCCCAATACTAGGATCCTTTAGGGCTAGAAAGATCTCTGATGTAACTTCTGCTTGGAATCTAAGTTAAGGCAGTCTTCTAGAACTATCTTCAGGGCTACGATGTTGCCCTACTAATCCCCCTACAACCAGCTTCTGTTAGGACGTCATTAAGGCCATCTTTCACTGTGTGTGTGTTGTGGCGCATGTCCCAGAGCTGGGACTTAGTGGCATGAATGATCTTCATCACCCTTCTACCTGGTGTAAAAGGGTTGGAGAAGGGGTGAGGATCTTGCCCAAGAGCTATTTTTCCAAGTGTTACTACTGGATTCTAGTTCATAACTTGAATAGATCTATTTGGAAGCTACCACAAATGTAACTTTTGGTAGCCAATGATTTGTAAGAGGAGAATTTTCTTGGAGTAAAATCTTAAGGAAATAAATATTTAAAAATGTGAAAAGTAGCCTTTACCATTTTTCAATAACTTGACTGCTGCAAAATGAATCATAAAGATTTGTAATCCTACAACCAAATCTGTTTAATTATCATGCTACTGAAATACCTAGAGTTAGTAGGTATTGTAATGTTTCCTTCCCCCAAGTAAATTTATCTTTTTTTTTTTAACTTCAGAGATCACATGGTCTTTTAAAGAAGTCATGGGTAGCTGTTGTAGCTGTCCAGATAAAGAAACTGTCCCAGATAACCATCGAAACAAGTTTAAGGTAAGCCATTGACTTTATATGGTGTGTAGACGGTTTTGTTGGGTTTTTTTACCCTAGAAAAACAAGACCCAGAGATAAAACTTTGAGTGAGAAATGTGCGCAAAGCACACAAATGAAGCTATCAGACTCACCAGTATGTATGACTAGACAACCCTTTGGGGGAGTCCCTTATCAGGCCTGGTTTTCAGTTACAGTGGAGATTCATAAACCTTTGGCCTTTCAGTAGGGTAAAAAGCCCTGTCTTACACAACCTAAAAAATATATCATTATTTAAACAAAAGATCCATATCAATGTACAATGTAGCTTTTGGGGAATCACTTGCTGTACGTTGTTATATTTTCATGACTCATCACATTCAAAGAATTTCTAGGTGTTTTAAGTTCGTAAATATTTATGCATGCATTGAATTTGGGTGCTGTGACGTGTGTGTTAGGATTGACTGTAGTTTTAATAATAGGTTAGACAAGGTTTTGTATGGGATGGTTTGGATAGGGATGGTCCTGCCTCAGGCAGAGGGTTGGTTTAGATCACTAGTTGCTAGCCTTTTGCTGGCAGGGTCTAGAGTTTGACCCAGCCCTCAGTGCAGGCCGAAAGTGTCTGCCCTGCCCTCCACTCACTCTGAGTTCAGATGCTGCAGGCAGTGATCTCTGCAGCAGAGGGGATCACTGCAATGTGAAGGGGCAGTGTGGCAAAGCACAGCTGTGAGACTAATTTCCCTGTGCCAGGTGGGACTTATTGTGGCCTGGGTCCAGTCCCTGGGGTGAAGTTTGCTGATCCCTGGACTAGGTGACCTCTGGAGGTCCCTTTTTGTATGATACTACCGTTAATTCCTTTGACTTTGGTAGCTTGGCTTTGCACAGCCACACAGGAGTCAATTTTGGCTTTCCAGCCTAGTCAGACCTTTAATGCATCCGCACTCAAAGATCCTCTACAGCAGGAAAGTCGCATGAGAGAGAGTGAGCTTCTACCACCATCCTGCTGTCAGCAGATGTGTGTATACTCCTGCATGCCCTGCTGTCTTAAGCAGTCTCTTTGGCAGTTGGTGCTTTCACAGGGTGCACTTTGCAGTCTAGCAATGCTTCTGCTGCAGTGAAAATGTGTGCAGCTGCTGGAAATAAGTATGTCTGCATTCTCAGACAAGTTGGCAGTGATGGCTGCAGTCAACCAGCAGAACCCAGTAAGTGCAGATAAATCTTGATACTGGAGCAGAATGCAGCTCTTTCACCATGATTGATCGCTTACTCTTGCAATCAACTTAAAAAGATGCTGTGAATTTTAATATCGTTTTAATGTCTGGAATCTTTTGAAAACTGTTGTTACAGGTTCATCTTTAAAGAAAGATCAAAAGTTTTCTTAATTTAGCTCTTGGTTTATTTTGCGTGGAGTTTTTCTCTCTTTGCCCATAGAGGTAGTTCTTTTATTGTTTGTATAGATCTCTCACTTAGCCCCCCAAAATTGGCCTGGACCTCAAAGCAGATTAAATTAATACTAACTCTTTTAATATAGATCAGATTTTAATATGAGAGTGCCTCTCTAATGAGCAGAAATAATAAATACCATAGAATAGATATCACGAATCTATTGCATAAGAACTAAAGGACAAAAGACACTGAGGGTGCCTGTAGACATAAGGTACTTCTGCTCCAACTACAGTTTGTCGGAGCAGACTCAATTAATCGTGCTATTCAAACAATTAGCAATCCATTTTGAAGTGCTGGATTCTGAATACACAAGACACTGCAGGCACTTTAATTGGAGTGGCCCCCTGAGAGCTGCTCTTATTAAAGAGCCACCCATCTCCACTCCCATCCCTATCCCCAGAGTGAGTAAATATGCCCTAAAAGTGGAAGTATTACTTAGGCAGTGATTCTCAACCAGGGTGCTGTGGGGTGTCACACAATGTTATCGTTGTTAGGTATGCAACCATGATTCATTCACAAAGTAAATCCAGAGATTTCAAATCAGAATTCATAATGTTTAAAAACATTCTGACTTGTTTTGGTCTTTCTGAGTAACAGAGCAACAGAAGAATTGCTCTATTACTTCAGTAAAAAAATGAGTGAAAAGTGAGAGCTGTCATATTCCAAGGAGTGCTTTAAGTCTAATGCAGAGACCTTAAGTCTAACAAGGTTGAGAAGTGCTGTTCTAGGGGAATAAATGTTGACAGTGCCCAAGTTACATTGGGGATAAAGAGGGATCCTCAAAGGATACAGTGATAGAAGGGAAGAGAGTTATGTAGTATTTATTTATTTAAGTTATGTATGTTACAAATGCAGTCCTAATTTATTCAATAGACCATTTCAGGCTCAAATTTCTCCTGTCAGTCAAGTTAAAGAAGGGTTCATCCTCCCCTGTCTCCCATGGCTTTTAAACACGCGCTTCTTGGGTTATTTTAAGGGGGAAAATAATCTTCTAAAGAATTAGAACTTTTTGACTTGCTCTTATAAACATGTTTTGTTTTCTGAGATGTGGTATAAGAATAATAACGCAAGAAGGTATTAGTATAGGTACTCAAAAAAAAATTTTTTTTTTATAGGTCATTAATGTGGATGATGATGGTAATGAACTGGGTTCTGGCATAATGGAACTTACAGATACAGAACTAATTTTATACACCCGTAAACGTGACTCTGTAAAATGGCACTACCTCTGTCTCCGTCGCTATGGCTATGATTCAAATCTCTTCTCTTTTGAAAGTGGTCGACGATGTCAGACTGGACAAGGTATGTAGACTATAGATGGGAAAAGCAAATTAAATTCAGCTTGCTCAGGTTTGCCTTCCTAAGAGCAGGACTGTAAAATAATTTATGTGGGATTTGGTTTGTTTTCTTTGAACCACGTGTGTAGATTCTTGGGGTGGGGCACAATGGGTATGTGTAGAAAAAGTAAATGCCCTTTACAAGATGTTCTGGTAAATGGCTACACTTTAAGTAGAGTATACTTAGTTGCCTCATAACCAATTGTCTCCCATATGTAAAATGAGAACACTGGGAAACTTCTGGTTCCTGGAGTAGTCAGACTTGAGGTACTTTAGGTTTACATATGTTGATACCACTCCTAAATTTAGGAACTGTTTTGATGAGTTCTGTTGAGGGATCTATCCAGCTCTCCTGACTCTGGAGTGGTGGCCTGGAATTTTGCTGTTTTGGAGGAGAAAACCTGTGACATGGAGGTCTCAGAAGCCATATCAAATATCTTAAGAACTAACAAAAATTACTTTATTATTGAATTCAATCACTAAATCATACAACTGTTATGAAGACAGGTAAATGGAAAAAGAAAGAACAGATCTAAGTGTTTGTATAATCAGGTACTCATTTTAAGCATGGTATTTAAAACATACATTCCCCCCCTTCCCCCCACCAGGCACTACAAATACCTTATTTTTATTTAATTTTTAAAACAAAAGTCAAACACCAGTGACATATATTCCGTTATCATCACGTTTTAAATGGAAAGAACTTGGTTTTTGGTTTCACTGAGTTAATTGTCTGTGCAGCTGAAATAAAAAGACAGCTCTGGCTACCTTTCCATTCTCCAAATCCTGAGCTGATTTGGCAGGGTCAAATTGGCTTTCTGTGAAAGGATCTATGGATGGTTCTAAATTACATTCACTGCACCAGTCACTATGGTAGTGGTTCTCAATAGGGTTGCTGCAAAAAATGTTTTTGAGGGTGCCGCAGGGTGCAAGGAGATTAAGCTGTCGCTCTTCTGTGCCCAGCCCTTATGCCAGGTAAATTTAGGCTCCTTTCTGCCTAGCTCCAGTGCAAGGAGGTAAGCTCATGCTTGTCCCTGCTGGCCCCTGTGTTGGGAGCTAAATGCTCACTCCTCCCCCCTCCCATGTGTGAGGAGCTAAGTGCAGGCTTAATCATGCTGGCCTCCAGTTCAAGGAGGTAAGCACATGATTGTCCCTGCCCTGCTGCTTTGTGAGGAGCTAAGTACTTGTTCCTTCCCCCCCACCCCATGTACACCCCTGTGCCTCGAGATAACTGCTGCAGTAAATAAATTAGTTATTGAAATAGAATGCTGCTCAATTCAAAGGCGTTAAGGAAGGGTGCTGAGAGCCTAAAAAAGATTGAAAACCACAGCACTAAAGGGACACCAACACTGGCCAAGGCCTGGGCCAAGTACTATGTTGTTCCTTGGTTTTCCTTCCTGCCCCTGCTTCCTCCTGCCCTTCCCTGCCCATGTGCATCCCTCCAGAGCAGGGATGCAAGAAATGGGCTTACTTTGGGTACATCTACACATGCAGTTAATGTGACACAATAAACTCTGGAGTGGTTCGAGCTGGAGTAAACAGCAGCAGTTTGAGCCAGGGCAGCACAAGTACCTGGCTTGGTGGACTGACCAGGTGCATCATACAGCCCTGATCAGCATCTGCGTGTGCATTTTGACACAGTAAAGTATTCCACCATAAAACAGTACTGTTGGGGAAAGTACTATCTTATGGTGGAGGTAATTAGTTTACTGTGCCCTAATACCACTGCATGTATAAAGTGTGATGCTTTACTGCAGAGTTAATTAATCTACTCCACAGTAAAGTGCACATATAAATGCACCCACTGTTTCAAGAGATGTGAGCTTTCCCTTCAGTACAGCTGAAGCTGCCAGACTAGGACCAAGGATCTGGCTTGATGTGTTAATTAACTTGACTTTAAAAAGTGTTTTTTTTAATGTAAAAGTAATTGTAGTTATCCATTGTTCATCTTGTACTGTGCTTTTGACCTTGCTGAGCTGTGTGTCCTCACTTTTTTGTGATTGATATTGATAATGTGTAAACAGTATATTTGCACAATGCAACTCCAATGTACAGAGATGAGAATCATTGTTTTAAACAAGTATTTTTCTTCAGCATGTGCACCCTAAACACTGCCATGCTAAAAACATGAGAGCAAATCTGACCCTCACAGAAGAAAAACTGATTTACCTTCAATTTGGTCGTCATTGTAAGAATTGAGAGAAATGAACAATTAAAAAGATAAATAAAGCTAGGTTTACTTTGTTTTGTTTTTTGGAAATTAATAAGTAATTTGTTTACCCCGTATTTTTAAAAGTTGCAACCTAACAAATGTAAGCACCAAACGTATTTCTAGAAGTCAAAAGTTTTAAATATAAAACAGCTCTCGTACAATATAAAGCATTTTGGGGAATGGCTTTCAGTCATTTAAATTCAGCTCCCCTATGGTTAGTTTGGTGGTCATTTTTAACCAGGTTGGCTGGCACTAAACGTATACATGCATATAAATAGTAATTAAGAACTTAATTTTTTGTAAATGTTACAGTGTGCTTCATGCTGTATTCTTCCTTTGTTGAAAAATAAGAATTCTAGGGGGAAATGAATAGGACTTCTTTTAAAGAAGACACAGTTTTAAAAATGATTTTGCTTGTTCAGTTTTTCCCTTAATATTTTTTAAATGTATTACGATACTGATGAAATTCAACTGGAAGTACTGATTTCAAGGTTATTTTTCCTTTGGTGAATGACCAGCACTAAAGCATTTTCCTAAAGTCTAATTGTGCATCTGCAAAAATTACAGTTTGAAGGCGAGTTATTAAGCCTGCAGTGTATGCAACAGCAACTGCTTTTTACCTTCCTTACCTAATATAAGAGGCAGGGAATATCAGGAAAATGGAAGTGGGGGGACAGAAAATACTTGTTCTATGCTGTCTCTTTTCTGTACAGCACTGCACCTAAAGAAACTTAAACTGCTTATGTTAGACATTAGGGCGTACGGTGCAAAGTACTGTCTCCTATCTTTTCCCCCAATTCCTAAAATCCAAGATGGTATAGTCAGATTCTTTGTCCCTCTGAATTCAAAGGTATTTCAAAACTAGGATGGTTTCTGTGCTGGTTATAGAAATAATCATGGACAAACTTTGACTATTTCGCTAACTTATCTTAGGGAAGAGAATTTGGGGCAGGGGGAAGGTTTGAATGGAGAACATTTGTTTTTGATAGTTTGACCTAATCACAGTATGATTTTAGCTTTGAAAGCATTTGAGAAATCGATGGAGCAGTCTTGATTTTGGTTCCCTTTTCACTGTGTATTCAACTTAAGTGTTCATATTTGGAATAATTTTAATTTGGGAGTAGAGCATTTTTATTTTGATGAAAGAAAAGCAAACTGGATTTCTCAAGAACACACTGTTAAGTTTTCTTAAGCATTTGTAATTCAGGGGGCAAAATGTCAGTTTTGAGGTTCTCAGTATGAAGTTTCACAGAAGAACTGTTAGACTACAGAGAGTATAATACAGTCTATAAGCTGCAACCATACTTTTGATCTGTAACTTCAGTGGCATTCAGAAAATGAACTTCACTTATAACTAGTTGCCTATATAATATGTGAACATAATTACACTTCAGGATTATATTAACATATAGGTAGTTGTAGATTAAGAGCATTTTTAGAAGTAACCCAGTTATTTTAAAGAGCAAAAGCACATACACGCACTTCTTTTAACAAGAATATCAACTTTAACTTAATGCTTTCAATGGAAGAATAACCCAAAGCTGCGACTTCACTGGTTGTCTCTTTGCTGGTGATGGTAAGTTGGGCTCCCTCTGCTGTTCGAAGGCAAAGTGGCACAATGCTCAAGTAAAATACAGGTATTGCTGCCAACTTTGTATTTTGTCTATCCCTAAGACTGAAAAATTGGTTTGTTTGCTGTCTATTTCATACAACCTGTCTTCTAGCCCTTCTTCTTAACCTTCTTTAAGAACCTGGATAGTACCCTATGTCAAAACCCTTCTTTCCTATTGTGCAGGCATTTTCATGATAACTTGATTTAAAAAACTGATAAGATATAACCATGAAACACTAAAGTTGTATTGTTATAACAGGTCGACTTCTTATCAGAATTCAGTTAAAGGCATTGCTGTTTCATGACATATGCCTTTCCCTTTGTTTTAGCACCCTTCCTGTATTGCAAATTTATTCAGTTACTAGGTATACATTTAAAAGGTGATAACTGTATTTTGTATGTTTTGATTGGTGCACAAAACATTTCTTTAACGTATTTATTCCTTTAACAGGTATTCATTAAGGAGAGTCCTGCTCAGTTATTATGGTTTTTATGTACTAATTTTCCAAGATGATTGTTTTCACAAAAGGGTTTAAAATGTTTTTATTTTGTTTATAGGAATCTTTGCTTTTAAGTGTGCTCGTGCAGAAGATCTATTTAATATGCTGCAAGAAATCATGCAGAATAATAGTATAAACGTAGTAGAAGAACCAGTAGTAGAAAGGAATTATCATCAAACTGAGTTGGAAGCTCCAAGAACCCCTCGAACACCTACCAGTAAGCATGGTTCTTCTATCAGAGTACAACTTCTGAATGTAACAGCATCTAACTTTTCAAATTTGATTTGGGTGTCTGTGTGCATGCTGCTAACTGGTTAAAAGTATATTGTGCTCAAAAGTAGATGCTTCTGTATTTAGAGACATCACAGAAATATCTTGTGACATCCCTATGTTACCTAGAAAATTGCAACAGTTTGGCAGTTTGGAAAGGAAAGATTAAAATCTTCTGGAAAAAACAGTTGACTTGTTTTTTTTGTTTCTCATATTAAATAATTTGAGGCAATACTTTGCGTACCGTATTTTTAGGCTGGAATTTGATGCATCTTTTGCATTTCATTCAGATAACCTTTATAATAAATATGATGGCAAACAATACAAGGTAATTTTGAAAATTCCTTGTTCATGGCATTTTTATGTTACGTTTTCATTGTGTGTGGTGCCTCTTTCTTTCTCTCCTGCGCAGATGGTACAGCTTGCAATGAAGTTAAGAAAATACATGTTGATTCTAATTCCATCTCCCTTTTAAATCAGTGATGCTACTTCTCAGTATCTTTTAGTGGGAATGAAAAATTGCTTGTAATAATTTTGTTCACAAGTAAATACTGAGTCCATTCCAATTGAGTGGTGCCTTTTTTCCAGGCAGATGCCTGGTCTTATAAATGTTCGGAATTTGTTAATTTACATATTTTGATAACATTCAGTGTACAAAGCACTTTAGAAAGAGAAAAGAAGACATCTAATTCATGCACATGGAGTTACTGTGAGTACCATCTTTCTAATGGATTTCTCTCTCTCTCTCTTAAATCAGCTCCTGGTTTCAATGCACAAAGTTTACCTAATGGATATCCCAGACATCCCTCCTTTGGAGATGCTTCTTCACACCCTTCCAGCAGACATCCTTCTGTAGGAAGTGCACGGCTCCCCTCAGTAGGTGAAGAATCAACGCATCCATTGCTTGTAGCAGAGGAACAAGTAAGTACATGGTTTTTATTTCAAACATTTTGGGTCCACCATTAATTTTACTTCTCATATATTAATCCTCTAAATTCATATTTGCACTTAATTTTCCTGATTCTTTCTCCATGGGTGAAAGATCTCTTTCTGATCCATACATAATCTGCATATGTTGTGCTATCTTAGAATGCAGTATGTGGTATCATCTTAAGCTGTTACTATTGTAGGATGCATCTCTGGGACAAAATAACTTGTCCTTTGAGTGCCCATGCACCTTACACTTTAGCTAAGACTTTTGGCTGTAGCAGTATCTGTACAGCACGTGTGCCTGACATCTCTTTCTGTACCACACTGAGTGCCTAAAGGACTTAAGCATGCTTTCAAACTTCTCTGTTTCTCTCAATTGCCTTGCCTCAAGATGGAACTTTCTGTAGTCAGCTCAGATAGCATTTGGTTTACAGCCTTATGAAAAGCCCAGTATTGTCAATTTAGCTGTTATATTTTTACCCTAACCAGGTTTTCACCATCCCAACCCTTAAACACACACCTTTTTTTGGAACTTTCTAATTTTTCCTGATCTCTGTTCTCTTGAAGACCTTGGATTTCCTTTAGCCCACGCCACATGGGCTACTGTGTGATGCTGTCTTCCCTGTTATATCACATCTTTGTAATTTTTCCTTTTCCCTCTTCTCAGTGTGTTTTTATTCCCTCCTATTTCTTGTCCATCACTGTGGTGCCTCCCAAGTCTCTAGGATTTAGACAGTGACCATGTTGCAGTGAAGCTGTGCCCCCAATGGATGGGCATATTAAGTGCGTCTCAATGCCTGTTCTAGTAAGGAGCATGAGGCCAGGATCTCCAGGTCTGCCTCCTCAGGAAAGTCCACAGAATCAGCCTCAGCTTTAAGGGTGCAAAACCTTGTAGGATACCACTTCCTGTTGAGGAAGCAATTTTCCTCTTCCTGTGTTAAGCACAGACCTTAAGACGGTTCCAGAGAAAGGTCCCCATCCTGAAGCTTTGCCAGCCTACAGTTTTCACCACTTGCCCATCCCACCTGTTCCCAGACTTTGCACAGTCCTGTGAAGATCCTGATGATAGAGCTTGGCAGTGCATTAGTATTGAAGATGCAGCACTAACTTCTGGTTCCATAGAGACTGCTCTGGTGATGTCCAGGACAGAGAATCACCTGCGACACTTGAGAATTGTTTGCACTACTATTTTGCAGCTTATTTGCAGCTTCAGTTCCAGGAAGAGCCTGACAAGGAGACCTCTTCAGCTTGGAAGACAACCATGGTTACATGGACACAGTTCTTTCTATGTTGGAGGGATGTGAGTTTTTTCTCAAGGGATCCCTGAAGTGATAAGATGTCTCCCTATTAGCTCTTGGGGTAATAGAGGAAGTTTGTCTTCACTCAAGGGAAGAAGTTGAATTGAAGCTATATTTCAAAGCAACAGTTACTGCTTAGATTCCAAAAAGGAATGGGAGATAGTAGCGCATCTTTGACTTAAAGCTCAGCTCCTTTATCCATAGCCTCATGCTTAAGTTGGTAATATTCGTCACTATCATTTCTAAAGCATGAAAGATGGGTGTTTTCATCCTTCAGGGTGATTACTTCTATACCGACATTGTGCCCTCGCACCAAAAGTATCCCCCGCTTCTAGGCTGGCCAGGACCACTTCTGCTTGGGTCTGTAACTCCTTTCCATCCCATGGTCAGGGAAACTCTTTTGTGAGTGGGTGCTATACGAGTAATGCAGGACTGCACAGCTGATTTTGGTTTGCAGGCCCTTATCTAACTAGTGCAGTTGTGATTTCAAGTTCCCTTTTGTATATCAGTAAAGAACTCTGGCAGGCAAAGTTCTTTGGCTAAATCAGATATCTTTAATTAGACCAACTAAAATAGTTGGCAAAATTCTTCTTTGCAAGCTTTTGAATACAAACAGCGTTCGTCAGGTTGAGGAAGCATCTGCAGTTGGTCTATGCTCTTCCTGGATGGAATAGAATAGAAACCAGAGGCCAGTGTGCGAGAATGCCTATCAGTGAAAATGCAAATTGAAGCAGTCAATGGATGAGAAACAGGTGGGGGGGCAGGGGAGATGTTTTGTAAATGCCTACCAGAAACCTATGGACCAACATACATAGATGCATAGAACCAGCAGTTGCTCTAAACACACCAAGAAAGCTGTAATATACAGCCAAGCCCTCTGATACCACTGAATTTGCACTGAGGAGAACATGCGTGATCATTGCCTCTCAAATCTCAAAAGGGATTTCACTGAACAAGAACATTCTTCCAGAGAGAGAGATTGCACTTTTAAAAGAGCCACCCAGATACCATGTGAAGGTTTGGTGCAGTATGGAAAGAAACCCCCCATGAATCACACACCACTAGTTATGACATATCATCCCTCCCTGAAACCTATGTGGAAAATCCTCAAACAGTTGCAAGCCATACTAGAAGACCCAATTCTTAAAGAGATTTCCTAGAACCACCCATCCTAGCCTTTAAACAAGAACTGAACCTTGCCAACCTCATCACCAGAAGCAAACTTCTACAGCCCAAGATGCACCAAATGTATCCAGACCATGCCATGATAAGAATGTAAAACCTGCCAACGTATCTCCACCACCCCTACAATAACTACACCCCACAACAGAGCCATCACTGTTCCTGGATTTTACACTTGCACCTCCAGAAATGTAATACATCTCATTCCAGTGCACTAAATGACCTGATGGAAAATATGTAGGAGAAACCAAGCAACAACTGTGTACCAGAATGAATGTGCACCATAAATCTATCAAAGACAAGAATACCCAATTACCTGTGGGGCCACATTTCTCAGAAGAAAACCACTCTCTCTCTCCAATCTCTGTTCTAAACCTCAAAGGGAATTTACAAAACACCTTTTGTTGATGAGCCTATGACCTTCATTTCATCAACCTACTGGATACAAAAAATGGACTAGATATAGACATTGGATTTATGGTGCATTATAACCTGCCTAACATCTGGTACCCCAGGTAACCTCTCTAGTATTTACCAGCTATATTTTTAGCACCAGGTCTACATTCCCCTTCTCTCCCCCACCCCTGCCACCTGTTTCTCATCTGTTGACTACCTCAGTTTGCATTTTCACTGATGGGCATACTGGCCTCTTGCTTTTATTCTATTCCATCCAGGAAGAGCACAGACCAACCACAGACACTTCCTCAGCCTGATGAAGGGTGTTTGTACACGAAAGCTTACAAAGAAGAATTTTGCCAGCTATTTTAGTCGGTCTAATAAGAGATCAGATTTGTGTCTCCCAAAGTACCTTTGTTGCTAAAGTTTATGTCCTTTTTAAGTCTGAACCAAGTATTTTAACATACCAGTGTAACCTCTTATTATTAAACTGAAAATTCTGAGGGAAGGTGCAGTTTCTACTGTGGAACAAATTCTCCAGCGTGATCCAGCTGCCCTTTACTGCCATTTGGGCAGTACAAAAAGGGCAACCAGCCACAAAAATATTACGCAAAATGTGTGACGCTTGTGGTGGGTTTCCATTGCATCTTAAATTAAATGTGTAGCAGGATTAGGACTGCACCAGGGTCTCCAACCACCCCATGTGTGGTCTCAATCCAGCCAACGCTCAGCTGATTGTCAGCCAGAAGAAACTATACTGGGACCAGTTGAAGTCCCATTGTGCTCCTGAGCCAGCTGACTGAGCTGATCAAACCTAGATGCCGTCCTGGAGCCAGCTGATAATCGTTTGATTGTTGGGCACCTGGCTTTCCACTTGCTGGTGCAGGGGGAGCCAAGGATTATGATTGCATTGGCAAGTAGGGTGAAATTGGGATCTGATCTCTCATTCCAAAATCATGCATCCTGCCACACATGTGTGGAATGGCTCGAATTGAGCATAGAAACAAAGTTATTAATAATTTATGATATACAAAGGATTCTTATAACCTACTCTGGGCACCTTTGGGCACCTGCAGCAAACCATAAAAAAGAATCCTTAAGCAAAAGTTGTGCAGTCAGCACAATCTGACAGGTAGGACTTCTATGTTCATAACTCATTTCCTCACAAACAGTTGTCCTCATTAGAAATCTGCTGTTCTCTGAACCCCAAGAATACGAAGTCAAGAGCCTTTAAGGAATTGAACCCGTTAAAAAATTAAAACAGGCAAACAAATAAATAAAGGTAATTAACCTTTGAACTTGTCCTTTACAGGTGCACACGTATGTCAACACTACCGGTGTACAAGATGAAAGAAAAAACAGATCAAGTGTGCATGCCCCACTGGAATCAAAGCTTTCTAATACTGAAACAAGCAAGTCAAGAGAAGATCCAAATTGTAGCGATGAAAGAGATGCTCAGGTTCTTCTGGAGCCTGAAGGAGTCAAATTTGTTTTAGGACCAACTCCTGTTCAAAGACAGTTAATGGAGAGAGAAAAACTGGAGCAACTTGGAAGAGACCAAGTTAGTGGTAGCAGTTCAAACAACACTGAATGGGACACTGGGTACGACAGTGACGAACGCAGAGAAACATCCTCTGGTAACAAATTGGTTTACGAAAATATAAATAGGTTATCAATCCCTAGTGCCTCAGGGCTCAGGAGAGGTCGTCTGACATCAACAAGTACCTCAGATACCCAGAATATCAACAACTCTGCTCAAAGGAGAACTGCATTACTAAACTATGAAAACTTGCCATCTTTGCCTCCTGTTTGGGAAGCTCGCAAGCTAAGTAGAGAAGATGATGATAATTTAGGACCAAAGACTCCATCTCTGAATGGCTACCACAATAATCTAGATCCCATGCATAACTATGTAAATACAGAGAATGTAACAGTGCCAGCAAGTGCTCATAAAATAGAATTAACACGACGTCGGGACTGTACGCCAACGGTCTTTAACTTTGATATTAGACGTCCAAGCTTAGAACACAGGCAGCTCAATTACATACAGGTTGACTTGGAAGGTGGTAGTGACTCCGACAACCCTCAGACTCCAAAAACTCCTACCACTCCACTTCCACAAACTCCAACCAGGCGCACAGAGCTGTATGCTGTGATAGACATTGAAAGAACTGCTGCTATGTCAAGCTTGCAAAAAGCACTGCCACGAGATGATGGTACTTCTAGGAAAACTAGACATAACAGTACTGACCTGCCTATGTGAGCCTGGGAAGTGTTTAAATCATTTGCACCTTTTGTGAAGTTTATAAAATTGAAGATGCAAGTACTTTATTTGCATTTCTTAACACTAACGCCTTTTATAGACTAATAGATTTTTTTTTCTGAATACTCGTGCTTGTTTAACTAAAGGGAATTAATGTAGAGCAAGTATTCATTAAATAACACTATTTCATTCTACAGTAGTAGCAATTGCTGCATAGCAGCACTGCCACCTTTCACAGTGCCTCTTTAACTGATTAGAGTTGGAGTGACATGCCAGTTTTGAATTTATCACTATTCTGGCCCTGTGCCTGTAGTCATTAAATGGCATTTATAACAGTTTATAAAACCTCTTAATATGTGCATTTAGCAGGTAAGCCTAATCTTTCAAGGTAAATATTTGTATGTTCAGTCTTCATTCATGTGGCCTCCAGTATGAGACAAGTAATTCCTTGTTCAGTCAGCTTGATTTATGCAGACTATTTTGTATCATCTTAAAGGATATGAACACTACACCTTCTTGTGTATCTGTCAGTTAATTTTTCTGAAATCCTGTGGACAAAAAAGCTTCAGATGTCCAAAGGTGTGTTTTAAATTCTGTAACATTTTAGGGGTCTGTGAGGCTCGCTTTGTCAGAGCTGTCATTGCATCTGAAACCAGTCTTAGGCTGTTCCACTAGAAAAAGGTATCCAAGTAACAGAAGCAAGTTTCCTGTAGTCTTAAAATTTTCATTTCATCAGAGGTTTGTGAAGGAGTTCACAGGTTGGTTGAATATTAAAGCTCTTTTTGTAGTATCTCAGTTCTGCTTGCCTTCCCTTCTTAGCATTTGGGATGTCTGTTGTGACTTGTCCATTAATGTCTTTTATTTAAGAAAAGTTAAAATTCTGTATATAGCTTTAATTATTGTTCAGGGTTGTTTGTGCATTTGTCTTGGTCTACTCATTGACAAAGAGAAACTCTTTAAGGTCTACTAGATACTTACAAAGTTGCCTTTGTCCAGTGTTTTAATGTTCTGCGTTCGTTTTGTCTGGCAGGAACATCCTAACTCTCCAGCAGCATGCATTATTGCACAACTGGAAAGGTATATTATTCATTTATTGTCTTCCTCTGAAGCATTGGACATAGATCACCACGGGAGGCAGGGTACTAGACTTGGTAATTTTATATAGCAAATTTTACCTTCTAGCAATGTGCATCTAGAGACAGTAGCATACTTGCTTGGTTTTAGAGAAAATCACTTACAATTTATAGAAAACTCCCTGGAGGTAATAGTATCTATGGGCAATACTAATTTTTCCTTTTTGCAGTTGGCTAATTCAATTGCATTAGTGACTTAATTGCTGCTCTGTTACAGGTAGTAAAATTACAGCAGCAAAATTAAAGTAAAATTTGCCTGGTACACCCTTAACCAACCCCCCTTTTTTTACACTGAATATTAATATGCTAATAGGTACAACAAGTGCAGCACAGGACTGGCAGCAGAACACAGTAAACTTAATAAGCCTGTGATTGCAAAGGAAACCGATGTTTGTATGAACTGGTGTAATGTAAGAATATTCTTGAACTGTGTGAGAGAAAATTATGTATAAGAAAAGGCATTGGGATTTGGGAAAGTTCAGGGGTCTTCATGCAATATGAATCAAGCCTTTGTTTGAAACATTGTTTGTTGCTAAATTATGTGGAAAGCATTCCTGTTTCCGTTTAAATTTTCCTTCTGTAATAATAGTAGCAACAGTGCCATCACCTGAAATGTTTTCTATTCAATGCAATAAGGGATGATGTCTGCCTAATTTATTTTGCAGGATGTTCAATCTTTACAAACTTAACACTGAAATGCATCCAGTATGCAACTGGTACCTTTTGCAGTTGAGAGAAGGGAATCTTATTTGCAATGATTGTTTAAAAAACCAAACAAAAATGTTACTGAGATCAAGAAACTTCTCCTTAGTCTGCACACGTGTGTTGTAGCAAGTTTGTTTAATAAATTTGATGCTCAAAGAGATGAGGGACTAACTAGAGCTAGACAGTGTGCAGCAACTATGAGGTAGTAAAGACTTCCTTCACACAACTTGACTATTGCATCTCCATCCTGATTTGTAGTACCCCATGTTGCATACTAATCCTGGATTTTTCCTGAAGAAGGAAAAATCTGTTGTGTACTGGTGATGTGAACTAGAAACCATGACCAGACCAACAAATTTTCTTTCATTTGTCAGCTAAGCCAGATTTCAGCAACATTTTCAACCATTAACAAGCTGATATATTTAACCTGCTGTTTGCCCTCATCATAAAATTAATGTCTCCCAACCACGAATGCATCTTGGCCTTTTATCACGTCTGTGAGGTAGGGAAGTACTACTTCCAACATATAGATGAGGAACGAAGGCTCAAGACAGATGATGAATAGCCTGTTGTGGTTGAGCCAGGAAATGAACCTACATCTCCTCAGTCCATATACAGTATCTTATCTACTAGATGGTCCTTCCTGCTTAAGATCTACTATACATTTTTGGAACAAATTTTGCCAACACTTGACATTTTGAGTTTTATAATGTTTGGTACATATATTCTTAAAGCTTTAGCTCTTAGAATTGTGGATACATCAGAATCTTAGCTTTCATTTCTAGTGGAAAAATGTTAAACTTTAGGGTTTCAAAGAAAAACTTGAAAATGTGAGTTCTAAAATGTTAATATCCGAAATGCAAAGAAACAGAACTCTTTTTAAAATCTCATGATTTTTAAGCCAGTCTCATGATTTTTTTTGGTTGTGGGAAGAGGGAGACACGGCAAGATTGACTCCTTAAATACTTGGTGTAGGCAACTCTTAATATTGCAAATAAAAAAAAAATACATCAGGCTGAATTTAAGGGAAAAGTTTCTGTAGTACACAGTATATTTTAGTATTAAAAAATGTTAACCATGCTGTTCAGGCTCTAGCTGATCCTCATTGTTTTCCAGGCATCACCACATATCTACTGTTGTCCAAGATGGCAATACTTCTCTTCTTTATTTAAGCTGGAAAGAAAATTGGGTAGTCCTTTGGTCATATGGCTTTCATTCTTGGCATTTTTTTCATTTCCTCATCCTCTCTCTGTTGAGCTAGAAGTAGTTGCAGTGCACTTTACCGGTGGAGACTTGGCAGTTATTTGCAGCTTAAGTCTCCTTAAAGTTGTGATGTTAAATCACTGTCTGCAGGTCCTGGGGTTCATTTTTTAGCCAAAATTTGTCGACCGCTTTTCAGAGCATGTTTACTTTGATCCATAAGTTTATAGAGTGAGAAGCAACAAATGTGTAACAATTACTTTTTGGACATTAACTGGCATAATATACATGAAATGTATTGGGGGAGGGGAAGGGAGAGGGAAGCACTGCTAAAAAGTGGCAACATTTCCTTCAGTTTTGCTGCTTATGCATAGTATGCAACCAATCCCTGCCCTTTTAAGCCAGTCTGAAAGGGTAAAGCCTTAAAATCTAAATTGCTCCAGTGCCATAAGTAGTGAAAGTTGCAGTGTGTGTCTATATATTATAGTAATTTTTGAGTGTCTGCTATAGTTATTTGTTATTTGTAGTGTATAAAACAAGTGATGAAGCATAGGCCAAGACCGCATAATTAAGATTGCACTGAAAAAGCGTTTAGCGGAAATGGAATGCATTACATGAAGCAAATGCATGTAAATTGATACCATACACTGAAGAGGTCCACTTTTTTCTCAAAAATTCTCAGAGATTCCTTTTAATCGTCTTTAAAAATGAAATTTCAGTTTTCAATAGAAAACTGAACAATAATTTTCTTCTGTTTCCCCTTCATTTAATTGAAGGCAAAAAGGTGGGGAAAACTTGAAATATAAAACTTCAAGATATCTTAAATTAGGTATATTTTAGGCATTGGATTAAGTGTTACACAATAATCCCATTTCCTAATCTTGTTCTCATTTAAACCAAGTGGGGGACGACTGCTGGACTTCTATGAGCTTTAGTAGCGTAGTATCAGGCCTCAAAATATTTATATTTACATTTTGCACCATAAACTTTTAAAATTCTGCCAAGACAATGGGATATCAATGCATTTCAATTTTTGAAAAGACATGCAATTTATTGCAATGAAAAAAACATGGAATTCCTTAAGGCAGGGCCACAGCTATACTATACAAAGTCCAGGACAAGATGTTAAAACAGGGTCACTTTGTGGCTATGGACAAATGTATCTTTTAACTGCTTTTGAAGGGGAAGGAGAAGCTGTGTCCCAGAAGTTTGCATCAGTTATAATGATGTTACTATCCATGCTCCTGTAAGTGATAGTTTCTAAGTGTTTTGCCAGTTTTTAAAATGTCTACAGAAACATGCACATGTAAGTCACATCATGACAACTTGTCATTTGTTTATCGATACAGTTGTTACTTCTGACTCTCATTTTTCTACTTCTATCCCCTCATTACAGTAGCGTCTGTAACATTCTCTGAGTCTCGCGCCCTTCTCTCTTAGGGTTTGTTTCACTTTCCCTAAAAACCAGGCTGAGACCCTTATTTACAATTCAGACCAGGGGCGGGCAAAATACGGCCTGCAGGCCAAAACCAGCATGCCATGCACTTTCATTCGGCCCGTGTCACCCACCAACAAATTGTGCCCCACCCAGCCCTTCCTCCCACAAGGGTGGGAGCAAGGCACCCATGTGTACACACACCCAAACTTACCCTATTGCACCCCGCACCCACCCTCATGGGCAGAAGGGCCCAGCCCTGCCAGCAGACATTCTGAGTGGGGCTTCTGCTTCTGCTTCTGCTGCTGCTGCTGCTGCAGTCCCCAGGGACCTGCTCTGCTTCCCCTGCCTCCAGGTCGCCCCAGGCAGCAGGCAGGGGTGGCAGTGTGTGGAGCTGGGGCTGGCGACAGCACGGAGCCTGCACCAAGGAGAGTGGCAGCAGGGCGGAGCTTAGGTGCACAGCATATGTGTGTAAGGAAGCAGGGGGGTTGTGGGGACCCCCCCCCCACACTTCCCCCATGGCTAGGGAGGCAGTGGCAGCAGCTGGCAGGTGTGCTCAGGGTGCTTGTGTCTGGCACAGGCACTGGTGCCCAGTGGGACGCAGCTGTGGCCAGCACTGCACATCACAGCAAGGGGCACAGTCCCTGCCAGGCAGTCTCTGTTACCCGCACTCCCCACCACATGTGCAGCCCCTGGACTCGTACAGCATGGGAGGAAAGTGCCCCCCGCCACTGAAACCGGCTGCCTTTCCCTCTGGGGCTGTGCAGCATGGGAAGGAAGCCCCAGGTGCATTCCCCAGGCAGCAGGAAAGGCAGCTAGGTCCAATGCATGGGGCTGTCCTGCGCATGTATGGTGGAGTGCACAGGCAATAGAGACTGCCAGGCAGGGGCTGCACTTCTCATCCCAATGTGCAGCACTGGCCAGAGCTGTGCACTGCTAAGCACAAGTGCCTTGAGTGCCCCTGCCTGCTGCTGCTGTGCCATGGGGGGAGCGGGAAGGGGGGGGGTCCCCTCCCCCCCCCCCCACATCATACAAATACCACACACCCACACCCTACCCCCACAACATACCCTATACCCCCCATACACAGCCCCACACCCTCTGATGCCCCACCACCATATGCACACACACAATATACAAGACTAAACATGTATTTTGAGTTGTTATGCAACCACCTCTAATATACACTACGCAAACACAAATCATGATAAAAATATTTTTTTGTAATAAAATTAAAATATGTTATAGTAGGTGTTTGACTTCTAATGCATGATTTGTTTTTTTTTCCTGGTCCTAAGATGGCCCCCCCCCCCCCCCCCCCCCCCAAAAAGAAGTATTTTTAGGGGGGGGAGGGCACAAGGGAGGGACTTCTGGTGGCAAGGGTTAGGGATGGGACTTCCAGTCCCAAGATGGCAACCCGGGGGCAGGACAACTCTCGAGGCGGGGCTACCCATGTGGCCCTCGACAGCTCACCAAAACTTGTTAAACAGCCTGCTATCCAAAATAATTGCCCGCCCCTGATCCAGACCCATATTGAAAGAAATGGAGGCACCCATACTCAATTCAGTTAAATTTCATGACTAAGTACAGACAGTCAAAAAGCCCAAAGTTGAATCGATTCAGTCTTTGCATGTTAGTCTAAACGGCACAGATTAAATTGAAATAGAAGTGAACAAACATTTACCTTTGATTCAGGAAATGCAGCACCAGCACTCCTCCCACCTGTCAGCCAGCCCTCACTGTTCCAGGTAGGGAGCAGAGGGACAGGGCCAGCCCTGATCTCTCAAGCAGACAGCACAGCCCACACTAGGGCTGCAAAGTATGGTGGGATGCTGGGGGACTGCAATTTAACTTGAACCACAAAGGGGTCTAGGACAGAAGTTTCATAAACCAGTTTGACCCAAATCAGTTGAGTCTGATACTACATTTAACCAGGTTTATCTTAAACCAGTTTGTCATTTTGAAAACTTGTTTATGTGCATTGGGATTCTCTTCTGTTACAAGTTTAAATCAGTTTCTGATCACTTAATCCAGTTTGTGTAACTTCTGTCCCTAGCTCATGGGCATAACTAATTGTCAGTAACTAATTTGGCTAGAGTTAATACTGGCACAGGTGCCCTTCCAGAAGATAAGGTCCAGAATATTCCTGCCTACCTAGGATGAGGGTGGTAGCAATGCAGAGCAGATGACTTTGCCATCTTTCATTTCAAGAGGGTCTCCCTGAGTTCAGTTACTACATTAAAAAATGTATAATATTATATCACATTTGGAATTCTGTTTCCAACAGTGTTGCCCACTTCACGTAGGATGAAATCTATGGTAAAACTTCATTTCTGCAGTGTACTAACTTTATTTATGTTTTCATATAAACATGAGAAAATTCTCTGGGAACTGGGAGTGGATTTTAAAGTCTCCTTTATAGAAAATTTCCCTTCTGCTAGATGAGGCCAATAAAAGTTTGATTCTCTTGGTTGGCAATTTGGATATTTTTGGCATTTAAATATTTTTTTCCATCAGGTAGTAATTCAATCATTCACATTTGACAGTATTTGCTTGTTAAAAATATTTCATTGAACTTACTTTAAGCTGTACTCATGTTAAATTCTTCATTTACACTCCAAAATAAGAAGAAATTCCAGCACAAAAAACTGCGTTAATAGGAGTTAAGGTTACTGATGTCCATTCCTATGTAATACATGTTAAAAAAAAACACAACAAAAGACACATCATGAGTTAAGGTTCATTTACATTCTTTAGAAATTACTTCCTCTTTCAGGTACTGAACACACAAAGTAGATAAGAAATCAAATTCATGTAGGAACTATACCTGGTAAGAGTTGCATATTTCTATTTCTTGTAATATTGGATTTTAAGGTACAACTAAAGAGTTTTATCAGTCTTGTTAGGATATTATCCTAACATAGTATTTACTCCAGATTAACGCAGTGTTTTGTGTGGAAATGTGTAGGTGGAAATATAACATCTGCGGTAAGTTACCTTACAAAATTCATTAAATAGATGTCACACATGTTTATATTTTTATATATTTACAAAGGGCATTTTGAAATTTTTATTGCGGTTTTAATAATTATTTAGTATGGTAATATACATATATTGTGACAAAGTGTTCTGATATATCCATTACCTTGGTGTAATTCTATTTTATGTAGCAAATGTGTAAATACAAAGAAGATAATGTAAAAATATAATTAATAATTAGGTTGTGAGCCCTTCCAGGCAAGGACCGTCTTCCTATTTGTTTCTAAAGCACCTAACACGATGAGGCCCCAGTCCTGTCTCATGTCTGAGTCCTACCACGATAGAAAAAATGCTGAAGAAGTAGAGCCAGATCCTCTGCTCTAGTTAAGAAGCCAGCATACCAAGGTGCCATGAAGCTCACCCCTCCACTTTCTGATCTGGAGGCCACTGTGTACATGGCTGTTTCGCAGACATGTTTCCCACACCATCTGCAAACAACCCAGAGGGCCCATAGCCACAGAAGGGATATGTTCTCTTTCATTCCAGTTGCATACTTTGTTGGCAGGAGAGATGGGGTTATGTGGTTGGAATCTGTCTGTTAATAGACAGCTTTTGTACTGGGGCAATCTTCCAAGAGCTGAATATGCTTGGCTTGGGCCCAGTCCAATATCATTGAAGCCAAGGGAAAGTACCTGTGGCCATTTGGATCAGGTGCAAGATGAGATTTTGCTGGCAAAATGGTTGTGCTACGCTAGAGGACCTGGTTGGTCAAGTTCTTCAGAAATGGTCTAAAAAAATGTAAAAAATATAAATATATTTAACTACATGTACTGAAAAACAAAAATTCCTGTTAGTTGTGTTCAGAGTTTAGATTACTATGTGAATTTTGCTTTCTTAGTTATACTTGTGTGTATATTGCTGGAACTATTATGTATGAAAGAGGAAGTGATTCTAAAGAAACGGTTCAGGATTGCACCCATATTTTAATGTTTTTATTTAGGAATGGACATCAGCGACCTTAATTCCACATTAATGCAGTTTTTGCCTTGGAATATATGTGTATGTAGACATATGCTCACATTTTATATATTTGGTACTAACTTCGTATTTTCCCTGAGATTTGCCAAATCTTGAACACTGATGTTTTCATTTTTAAGACTTGGGTACTTAATGACTGAATGTATAGGAAATACTTCTGGTTTGAAAATGAAAATAGTATTATGGTATCCCACAACTGTCCGCCAGCCAGCATGTTGCTGTTTCTTGCATGTAACATCTCCATTCCATTGTAACGTAACCTATGGCTATTTTTTCTGAACCATTGTCTGTCCTAAACTAAACTACAGATTTGGTATTACAGTACAATTGAATACACTTCTAGTATGAAACCTGACTGGTAGTTGTAGTACAGTAGCACCAGTGTGCCACAAATGAATTTATTAAATGCAGAAATATACATTTCTATACAGGCCAAATTCCTATGTTTTGTGTTTTTATTGTCATTACATTGTATGATATTGTAAGATTATTGTGTCCTAATTTGCATTATAAAATGTTGTTTTCCTACTTAAAGGCATAAATATAACAACTTTGTATAAAGGTAGCTTTCTAGATTTTTATTTCTTTTTATAAAAAGTCTAAACAGTGGGAGTACCATTGCCAAATTGTTTATGAAATTTCCATGAACTTTGCCCTGCTGGATTTGTTATACAAACATTCCATTTTTTTCACAAAAAGTGATACCGTACTATGCAGAAATAATGTATTTTTATGCTGTTCCAAATTGACATATTAGAATTTAATTTAATCTTTGGTTTGCATTTTCATTATTGAGAGCTTACCAAATGTTCATTTTAAAAAAATGTATAATGTTAATATTGACAATGTTGTCCCCTTCATCAGTGCCAACTTAATTTTTTTTTAAATTGTAGCATGGCAATAAAATATTGATTTTACATTGTGTGTGTGTGTGTGTGTGTGTGTGTGTGTGTGTGTGTGTGGATTACTTCTAATGTGAGGTGGGAATTACAATTTTTTATTAATATTACTGTGTTTTGCCTTTGTTGGGGGCTGAGGGAAGGGGAGAGACCAAAAGCTGTTCCAGTCTCTGGCACGCTATCACCTACATTAGCCATTCTATAGTCACTCATTTTCTGCAACCTATTGCCTGAAAAATAAGCAGGCCTTAATGCACCAGGCGTAATTTCCAAATCTATTATTCTTTTTCATTGTGGTGTTCAGTTCTTTCACCTTCCTAATACACAGAAAGTTTTAACTCCCTGTGGGCATGCATGGAGAAAATTAGGAAGGCCAAGGCACAATTTGAGATGCAGCTGGCAAGGGACATAAGGCAAAGAAGGGGATTCTGTAGGTATCTCAAAAGTAAGAGGAAGCTGAGAGATTCCACAGATCCCTGACAGAATGTGGAAGGCAATCTAGTCACAGATGATGGAGAGGAGGTTGAAGTATTTAATACCTTTATTTTGCCCAAATAGGGGCAACTACCAGCTGGCGAGTGCAGTTGACAGTGATTATGGAAGGAGACAAATAGCTGAAAGTAATGGCAGACCAGGTTGGGGAATACTTAGAGAAGCTAGGTGTTTTCAAGTCAATAGGGCCGGATGGGATCCACCCAAGGGTACAGAAGGAATTGGCTGAGGTAAATTCAGAGTCATTGGCAATCCTTTTAGAAAACTTGTGGAGGTCAAGCAAGGTCCCTGATGATGACTGGAAAAGGACAAATATAGTGCCCATCTTTAAGGGGAAGGAGGATCCGGGGAACTAGAGACCACTCTGCCTGACCTCTGTACCTGGAAAGAACATGGAGAAGGTTCTCAAGAAATTATCCATTGTGAAGTACCTGAAGAGAACAGAGTAATCAGGAACAGTTAGCGTGAGTTCACTAAGAGCAAGTCTTTCCCGACCAATCTTATTTCCTTCTGTGACAGGGTGACATGCTCTGTGCATAGGGGAGAGCAGTGAATACGATATACCTGGACTTTAGCAAGGCTCATGACATTCTCATTAACAAACTAAAGAAATACAGACTAGACATAAGTACTGTAAGGTGCATAAATAGCTGGTTGGTTTATCATACTTGGCAAATAGTGCTCAATTTCTAGCTGAGAGGAGGTGTTAAGTGCGAGTCCTCAGGGGGTTATCCTGGGTCCAGTATTGTTCAACATCTTATTAATAATTTGGATGATGAGATCAAGTGCATGCTTAGCAAATTTGCAGATGACACCAAGGTGGGTAGAATTGCAGATACTCCAGAGAACAGGACTAGGATCCAGAATGACCTGGATAGACTGGGTAAATGCTTCACAGTTGTGAAAAAAACAAAAACCCAACAGCATCTTCAGTTGTATTAACAGGAAAGTCACTTGCAAATCATTGGGAGTGATCCTTCTGCCCTAGTCCAGACTGGTGAGGCTACACTTGGGGTACTGTGTGCAGTTTTGGGCCTGTCCAGAAGTGGCTGCTTTTTGGTGAGCGAGATCGGTCAGTGCGATCGGCCACCAGGGCCCCTCTCCTCACTGACTGGTGTCGGGGGGCATGTACCCCCCGACTCAAGAAGCTCCAGTAACCCATGGGTCTGTTGCTTGAAAGTGAGGGGTAGGGCACAGGCATAGCATCTCCCCCTTTTACAATCATATACCCCCTTTTTTCCCTCAGGTGTCCTCTTTTTTGAAACTGGAAATATGGTAACCCTACTACTGTGGAGCAGCCTCCCCTTCTCTCTGCCTCTCCTGCTGCTGCTGCAGCTCTGGCGGGAAGGGGGAAGCCTCCTTGGAGACGTTACAGCGAGGAGCCGCGTTAATCGCAGCTGGAGCTGTGGCGCGGCCACACGTTCAGTCACTTGCTGCTCGAGGAACGCGTCCAGGCCGGGCTCGTTCTAGTCACGCCGTGAGTTGGCCTCGGGGAAGCAACACGTGTGCCAGCGTCTCAGCAGCAGTCTCCGCTCCCCAGGTCAGAGGCAAACGGAACCTCGCCGCGAGCGCACACCAGCCAAACCGAAGGCGGAGCCCTCGACTCCCAGCATGCACCGCTCCCCAAGGCGCATGCGCGCTGAGAGGCAGTGAGGGCGGCGAGCGGCCGGGCAGCCCAGCCTCTTCCGGCGTCTTATGATCGACGCAACTTCTGGTGGCTCGTGAGGCAGCTCGTGGGGCCGGCTCGGTTGGAAAGCTTCACTCGCAGCGCTGCCGCCGCCATCATGGTGAGTGTTGGGCGGGCCGGGCCGGCTGGCGGCGCGGGCGGCCTCGCCTGCCCCCTGGTCCGTTAGCGGGGCGGGGCGGGGCGGTCTGGAAGGTTCGAGGGTGGCGGGGTTCCCCCTCCCCCAGTCACGTGCCCACGATGGAGCGGGCGCTGGATGCCCGCGCGCCCCGGGACAACAGCGCCTGTGGGGAGCGAGCGGCCGGCGCCGCCGCCGCCGCCTCAGGCCTCCAGAGAGGAGCCGCAGAGATGAAGGAGCGGGTCCAGCGTGTTCCCCGAGTCCGAGCGGGTTTTACTTATGTTCTCTGGGCAATGTGGCGGGGTGCTGAGCGCCTGCCCGGCGACTCCCGACTCCAGTCTGCCCCCTTGAGTGGAGGTTATTGTCTCTAATTACAGCTTATTCCAGTTATTAAAAACACAATCAAACTATTAAAATGTAATCCAGCCCTGGCCAGAAATCACCCCTGCACTTCTGTGATTCAGCAGTAATGAGTTTATTACAGTTATTAAAAACATGAAATAAATTAAAATGTATCCAACTGGACAGAAAGGATAGCTGCAGCCCTGTGATTCAGCAGTAAGGCGGAAGCTTTCCTTGTTGCTCGTAAGGAAGTAGGGCTGGAAGGGACCTCACCAGGTGTGACCTAGTTCAGCCCCCTACTGGAGGCAGGCTCATCCCTTCCCAGCCAAGTGTCCAACCTGCTCTCAAGTTTTCCCAGATGGAGATTCCCGGTTTTGGTGGTAGCCATGTTTGCGAGGTGTGTTTTTTAAAAAAAACGCATTATATTAAAGCTGAATGCTGGATTTGTAACTGTTCTTGTTTCAGGCATCCCTTTCCCTTGCTCCAGTGAATATTTTCAAGGCAGGTGCAGATGAAGAAAAAGCAGAAACAGCTCGTTTGGTGAGTTAAATCATCTGTGAAACTGATAACATCTCATATATTTTCGTTACACCTTCTATATAACAAAAAAGGTTTCCTGGCAGTTCCTGCTATAAAACACTAGTATTGCTCATAACCAAAATGTATCAGTTAAGGCTGAAACTATTCTTGCTAGGTACTGCCTAACATTAACCTTCCAAAAAAGCCAAGTAAAAATGATCCAGGCATGTCTGAGAAGAAAATGAGAGAAATACTTTTCTTGTATTAATTAAAATCTTGCAACTGTTTTATTGAAAGGACTTGATGCTTGTCAGGGGGGCTTGGACTTCAGGATCATGCCTTTTGTTCCCATGGAAAAACGGCCACAATTTAGCTCAATTTGGAACTTTAAAAAAAACATAGTTTGTGATTCTTCATTAGATGCTTGCTAAATTGTAAGAACTACATTTTCTATGACTAGTAAGATTCCACTTTTGCAGAGCGTTCTCTGTTTAGGGGGTTGAGCAAGAACTCTACTAATTGTTGTCCCCAGTTGCCAAGGGCTCTGCTTGTCAGACATTGAGAATGGGAAGACAGTGAAGTATTCTTTTGGTTTCAGTGATCCCAATTCCTAGCAATCGATTGGTGAATTAAATGCAGGGGAGCCTGAGCTACACCCTACATACTAGATTGTGACTGTTATCTATAATATCTTCTCCAGTGAGTCTGAGATTCAGGTGATTGCTCAGAACAGAAATGATGATTCTTTCTCTGATAGCTTGTTCACTTTCATTTCAGTCCTCCTTTGTTGGTGCCATTGCTGTTGGAGATCTAGTTAAGAGCACCCTGGGGCCAAAGGGCATGGTAAGCTATTTGCAGGTTCTTAGAGACCATAACTGTTACTATTCCTTGCAGCTCTTGATGACACAAAGTACATTTTTCAAGTAGCTTCCTAAATCTTGCATCCTGTAGGACAAGATTCTCCTAAGTACTGGAAGAGATGGTGCAGTAACGGTAACCAATGATGGTGCAACCATCTTAAAAGCTATTGGAGTTGACAATCCAGCAGCCAAGGTCTTGGTCGGTGAGTTTTTAGCTAAATGTTCATCAGAGAAGTATTTTAAATACTTTTAAATATTTTTTTAAAGGATATTGCTTTTTGTTTGTTCTTCTCTTTGCTTTCACTAAAAGCATGTTGGTGATGCAATATTTAGTTAATGCAGATAAGTGCTGCTCCAGGTAACAAGTATTCTATATAAGCATGCGTAGTTCAAGTCTGTAATGAGTAGCAGGATACTAGAACCAATAAATTAATAGTGATGATTTCTTTTTTTTTTCCTCTTAAGATATTTCAAAGGTTCAAGATGATGAAGTTGGTGATGGAACTACTTCTGTAACCGTCTTGGCAGCAGAATTGCTACGGGTAATATACTGACAGTTCATGTTTTTAGTGCTGCTTTTAGCTCTGGTGTCCGAGTACTGTGGTATAGCAAATGCTAACACAACATGCAATTAGTGGTGTAAGCTTTAATGTACTGCCTACCTGTGGGCTTGCATGGATGAAACAACGGTCTCTCTTTGGGATGGGAGATGTACTGCTCATGAGTGCTGCTCAGCTGATTTATTGTAATTTTTGTTTCTGTAAATGGAGCTGAGAAACAGTGATTTATCTCTTAATGAAACTGGGGAGAGGGAAGTACCATGGGTAGATGAAACGATTATAGTGGATTCAGGCTAAACTGTGGTAAGTCTGCATCGTTTCCACCCCTGTGCCCAAATTGTGATAGAAGAAAACCTTGAGAGCTGTCTTTATTACTAACGTTTAATTTTTTTAATTGTTTCATGTCTTATTTTCAATTTTTACAATTTAATTTTTATAATTACCTCTGTTTCTCCTGTTTTCTGTATCCAGATTATTTGCCAATGAATAGTTTTACCTTTTTGGTTCTTGCATTTAGCAGCATGCTACAGTGCTGGGTTGTAAAAACTTCAAGACATTTTCTATTATACTTTTATGCTGAATTTTGAAAATTGTAATCTTTTTAATAAGCATTTATAAAACCTGTTTTTTGCAACAACAACAAAAAGTAAATAGATTTGATGAAATGTTTTGCACTGTTATGAAGGCTGTTAAACTATTTCTGATCCACCTTCAGAGGCTGATATTGAGATTGTTAGTTTGCTTGTACTGCAGTTACAAGGACTAGGGTGATAGCTCAGTTCTAAACCAAGCCTGGCTTTGAACACCCAACACCTTGAGTTTCATTTGTGACTGAACAGGGAGCAAGTGCACAACTGCAGTGAAAGATAATGCTTTTATAAAAGCTTGCTTGCTGTTTACATGAAACTCTGGTTTTCATCAGTCAACATTTCTGAGGGATTTTTTCAAGGGTAGATATCAACACTTTAGCCAGCTATGACTTACTACTCACAGCATGGAATTGTGTGTGCGCGTATGTTTTGGTAGTGTGTGTGTGTGTGTGTGTGTGTGTGTGCGCGCGTATGTATATGTAATATTTCACCTAAACATTAATTTATGCTGATAATTTCAGTTACTTAGCAAATTAATGTCCTGTTTGAATTCTTTTCCCAAATGTATTGTCCTTCTTGTGCAAGAGTAAATTAATTATGTATTTTATTTTAATAGGAGGCAGAGTCACTGATTGCAAAGAAGATTCATCCTCAAACTATTATTGCAGGTTGGAGAGAAGCCACAAAGGCAGCGAGAGAAGCCCTTCTGAAAGCTGCAGTTGATCACGGGTTAGCGTGTTAAAATTCTGAAATAATTTATCTTGCTGCTTAAGTAGTTTTTATAGAAATTGTCCAAGACTATGACGAGTAGAGGTGAAAATTAAGCAACAGATGAAAAATGATTTGCTTCTTTGCTGACATAGTCCACATAATAGAAGAGTGACTTTTTTGGGCTCTAGGCATCCCTTGATATACTCAGGGTGCCCCTTGGAAAATTCCGGTTCTTAGTCCAGTTGGTTTTCACTTGTTTGACTACAGAAGGTAGTAGAGCAATTCTTTTCTAGCAGAGAACTTAAACTGTAATGGGTTAGAATGTTTTAACAATATGGATTTTCCTTTCAAATCTCTCAACTAGCAGCCCTGTTGAGAATTGCTGGAATGAATATACAGATGTTTCTTACTGGTTTGTTCAGTAAAATATGGGGCTTTGAAAATGTATTTAGAATTTTAAGAAATGCATATAGCTGTTGATCTAAAACATAATTTGCTCCATATTAAGTAGCAATTGTAATTTTTCCTAACATTGGCTTGATCTGAAGACTTGTAGTTTCACTATCAGTGAGTGAAAGCACAGCCTCTCTAAACTTCATTTCAAAATTACTTCTTCCTTGGAAAAACAACCCAATTTTGTATTTAAAAAATAATTTTAAGAATACCAGACATAATCTCAGTTGTATAGTTTTAATGAAAATGAGAAAAGGCACTTCTGGTCACTAATGGAGAAACAGAAAACAGACACAGTTAAACTTGAAGAACGTCTTAGTTTTGGACTTCTTTTTTTTTTTTTTAAAAGAAGAAAGCATTTTGAGGTTTTTTTAAAAATACATTATTGATTGAGGTTGTTTATCTCCTGTTAAACATTTTGAAAAGTATAGGATTACTTTGCACTTATGCTTTCACCTAGGATGTGTGTTGAGAAATAGAACAGGCTGTGTAGGGGTTGAAGTTATTTGTTGGGTTCTGATAAACAGGAAAACAGTATCTTTCAGGAGACTAATTATATAAAGTCAGACCATTATGAAGCGAGTACCTTTTCTATGGAGAGGTGTATGGTACTGTAGAATGTGTCAGGTGTCCAAAATTAACCTCTTTTACTGCTGTATATTGACTTTGAAAAGGAGAGAGAATATATTGTGACCGTCAACCATTTCCTTCTCCAGTTTTGGTCACTTAATTATGCTCACTTGGATATGTAGATAAAATGTGGTGTTTTGTTTTAGTGACGATGAAGTAAAGTTCCGTGAAGATTTAATGAATATTGCAGGGACCACGCTTTCTTCAAAACTGCTTACTCATCATAAAAACCATTTTACCAAACTAGCAGTGGAAGCTGTTCTTAGACTGAAAGGATCTGGTAATTTGGAAGCTATCCATGTCATCAAGAAATTAGGTGGAAGTCTGGCAGACTCTTACTTGGATGAAGGTATGTCTTTATACAGTGACGGCAAATTTAAGTTGTAATTAATCACTAGGGCCTGATTTAAATTGTGATTTCACGTTTTTCATGAAAATAACAAAAGTAATTTTCCCAAAAAATGCGATTTGCAACAAAATATTACAATATGGTGGTCACTTGTTAGGGAGTTCCCTAGCAAGTGGCCATGTGGCATTTTGTTGCGACAAGATGGCTGCCCTGCCCTAGGTAGAAGGGAGTAGCAACCCCAGCCTCCCTGCCCCCTCTTCCTTGCAGGAAATCACTGGGGTAACAGAGAAGCTGCAGGACAAATGGATGTGACAGCAGCTCTGCCCCCACACCTTAGCCTTCTGCTGTGGGTGGGACCACCCTGACAACCCCTCCCTTACAGCCATTGCCTTCATGCCCCCATTGCAGCCAGAGTGGCAGCCATGGCCCCCAGTAGCGCCATGCGCCTTGCCCCACAGCTCCCAACCCCACTGTTCTTGATGCACAGTGTCCATCACCCCATCGATTCCTACCCACTAAGTGTTGGATGGGAGCAGTGTGGCTGGCCAGCTGGGGGAGCAGCAGCAGTGACAGTAGGGCAGAGTAGAATAGTTCTACCCTACCTCCTGCTGCTGCCAGGGTTCCTCTAACCTCTGCTGGCCTCCATGAGGTAGAGGTGGCAGCAACAGCAGCCTTCCCAGCTCCATCTTTGTGCACTGGCCTGGTCTGCCCAGCCCTGCGCTTTGTTTGGCACCAGGGTGGAGCTGCTGCCTGCTCAGCCCATCCTCAGCCTGTGGATTGGAAGGGGTGGAGGTGATGCAACACTAGGAGGCTGGGGCCCCCAAGGCAGCAGTGGTAGCTAGAGGAAGTCGCTGGTTGGCTGCCTTCCCAGCCTAGCCCCAGTCCTGGCCCTGGCCTGGATTGAAGTGATTTTGTGTGGAGCAGCTCAGCCAAGAAAAGAAAGCAAAGGTACCATTGGGCCAGGCCTTCCCTTATACCTCCGCTTACCTCACCCTGCCCCTCTTCTTCCCCTCATGTTCCCTCTGCAATCTCCAGGAGGCAGCAGGGGAAAAGGGGGTTCCATGTCCCCTGCTGGGTGTAGAGGTGAGGGGGAAGCCCCAGCTGTGAGGGATGGAGGGAGATCCTTCCCTCCCCTCAGTACCTGTCCCTGCTTAGTGGTGGGGAGTGGGGCTCTGCTGGCCTGCTGCACCGGCATCTTCTCCTCCTCCTCCTTGGTGCTAGAGGGTGAGGGTTTTCCTGAATAAGCTGGCTTCAGTGCAGGGGGAATAGGTGGATCTGGCCCAGGAGCGTGTTTCGCCTGCAGCACAACTTGTGCATGTGAGCCAGGCTGTTGCTGGATGGGTAGAGAGGGAGAGGCTGTCAGCCAGGCTGTGAGGGGGGAGCCACGATCTGGTTTTGAAAACCGCAGCCCCCGCCACTATCGGGCCGTGATATTACCGAACTGGGCCTGTGATTTAAACCAGGCTCTGCTAATCGTGTGTGTGAGAGATGCACTCATATGCATTTGTTTCAAGAAACATCTATGTTACTGTTAGATAATCTTTTCCAAGATTTTCTTACATTGTTTTTCTCTCCTAATGTAAAATCTTGATATTTTACTCACTCTTTCACTGCAGGCTTTCTGCTAGACAAAAAAATTGGTGTCAACCAACCAAAAAGAATTGAAAATGCGAAGATACTTATTGCAAATACTGGTATGGATACAGATAAAATTAAGGTAAGTGATTACTGCAGTAGAAATCTTCTCTATTCTTGGCAGTTAATTTAGGATCCTAATCTCTGTGGGGTATCTTTAATTTAGATTTTTGGCTCTCGTGTAAGAGTGGATTCAACTGCAAAGGTAGCAGAAATTGAACAAGCAGAAAAAGAAAAAATGAAAGAGAAAGTTGAGCGTATTCTTAAACATGGGATAAACTGCTTTATTAACAGGTATGTATGTCCTTATGTGAGGAATAAGGTGCTTGACTGATCTTCATAAATTGGTAACATATTATTGTTTTGAAATTTTTGATCCAGCTTTTCTACCATACTATATTGTCTCATATTCAATCCTGCCCCCCTCTGCCCTGTACCAGCAAACAAGACACAGCTTTTTTTGGGAAAGCAAACGGAAGGGGAATGTTTTTTCCACATTCATAACTGCCACAGTATGGTTTAGCATAGCTAAATGTCTTTTGTGTATGCAAATAGAGCAGAGTCCTATAGTTAGCATAATTCACCCTCTTACTGGGTAAGACTTCATCCTGTCACAGTTCCTACTGAACTGGTAGCAGTTTCTGGCTGAGCCAAAACTGCACTGGCCAGCCACACTGCAGATTCCATAGCAAATCTGTTCTTACATGTTCAGTGGGTTTCTTGCTGCTATGAAATATTGAAGGGTGCCTACTTCCTGTAACATTAAATCTATATTTGTGCTTTAATTGTAGGCAGCTGATTTATAACTACCCTGAGCAGCTCTTTGGAGCTGCTGGCGTTATGGCTATTGAACATGCAGATTTTGCAGGTGTAGAACGTCTGGCTCTTGTTACAGGTATAAAGAAGCAATTTTCCAGTATTGGGACCTGGGTATCGTTAGTCGCTTATCTTTCATTAAATGTTAATACTTGGTTTGTTTGACTTAACTCACTGTACTTTGTCTATATGCTAAGAAGTGAGGACTTCACTGCAGAGCAGCTGCTCTGTTGTAGCTGTTCATCTGTCTGTTCTTACCCTACAGTAAATAAAAGCCAAACTGGCTGGTTAGCCTGTCCCTGTTTAAGCCAGCTTAATGAAACAAGGCTAACTGGCTATAACTTGCTGTTTTGTCCATATCCGTAGCAAAATGAAGACTGAGTGAGGATATGACTGCTGTCTAGAAATACACTTCATAGGAAAGCACTAGGAAAGAAAAAAATGTTTTAAGTGGAAGTACAAATGTGTGTAAACCTGCCCTGAATAAACTTTGAGCTAAAAGCTAGGAATGAAGTTTTTGGACAACATTCCAGTAGCAGTAGTAGAGACAAGAAACACTGACTAGTCTTAAGATGGAGTTTAACCGGTTGGACTGGTCAGGGGACTGGATTTAGGAATGGAAGGGGTATTTTGGATCATTGTTATTCCTATGCAAGTAATATGATCATAGCTGTGTAAAACTATCTTAGTATTCTGTAAAACAGTAATCCTACATGCATCATAGTCCAAAAATGGTGGTGAAATAAGAGAATGAATTTGAATATAGTTGAGAGCGGTGTGTATTTAACACATAGCAGCTGATGCCTTTGATTTTAAAGAACTCCAAACAATTTCAAATTTGCATTATACCAATTTATACTTGTCAGTACTTGTACATCTCGGAGTGCTTTGCGGAGATGAACCAAATATTTTTGCCCTTTATTTGTAAGCTCTCCTTAATACCATGTTTACCCGAATCCAAGACCATTTTGAATTTGACACCCCTCTTCCCTGCCCCCTGGTAATTATCTTCATTTATGGAAAATTATAAGCTTGTTATAATATTTCATGTATGAAATCTAACTGTTGGATAGTAGTCTTTAAATCTGTCTGTGTCCCCCATCCCCTTCTGTGGTGTGCCTCTGATTCTACCTCTGGCCCTGGCCAGGGAAAAGGAGATGGCTAGATTGGGGCTGCAGCAGCTCTTGCTGCTACTGTGCTGTCTCCCCAACAGAAACTTTCATCCCCTTGTCTCCCCAATTTCCCACACTGCAGCAGTCTCCCCTGTGCTCCCCTACTGCATGAGCCACCCTGATCCCAGCTAAGCTGCAGCAACTTCAGTTCCAGTCCCCACTCTGGCACTTGAATCCAAGACAGAGCTCTTTTCCTATGTTAAATAAATTTGAATCAGTCGTACATGGATATCAAGAGTCTGGTGTTTCCTAATATGTGAACGTAGAGTGTATCACTTTCCAAAAACTCTTCGCTTGTCAGTATTAACTGTATAACTGACATCTGAGTTCCTTCCTTGTGTCCATGTGACAAGGTATTTAGCAGAATTTGCAGATTCATTGGAATCTGACAGGCCACGGTGTGAGTGCTTCTGCTATGGCCTTGAATTTATGACCTCTAGGTTGTCAGCTATGCACCTTAGCACTCACCCCTGGCATCTGAGTTAACATGTATTGAAATTAATGGGGGAGTTCAAATTTGCAAGCTATTGTTTTGCCCTATCTGTAAACTCAGACATTTTTACTTCAGTTGTACCATTTTTCATGGATTTCATAGACATTAGGGCTGGAAGGGACCTCAGAAGATCATTGAGTCCAGCCCCCAGCCCCAGGGGCAGGAAGTCAGCTAGGGTCAAAGGATCCCAGCAAGATAAGCGTCCAAACATTTCTTAAAAGAGTCCAGGGTAGGTGCCTGCATCACCTCTGGAGGGAGTCTATTCCAGGCCTTGGGGGCTCGGACAGTAAAGAAGTTCTTCCTTATGTTCAGCTTAAAACGGTCTTGGAGAAGTTTGTGACCTTTGGACCTTGTTATCCCATGGGGGGCTTTGGTGAACAGGTGTTCCCCCAGATCCTGATATACAGCCCTTATATACTTATAGGCTTCCACTAGATCACCCCTAAGCCTGCTTTTTTCCAGGCTGAAGAGTCCCATGGCTCTCAGTCTCTTATCGTAGGACCTGTTCTCCTGCCCTCTGATCATGTGTGTGGCTGTCCTCTGGACTCTCAAGTTTCTCCACATCCTTCTTGAATTGTGGAGCCCAGAACTGGATGTAGTACTCCAGCTGCGGCCTGACCAAGGCCGAGTACAGTGGGAGGATGACATTCTAAGATTTGCTTGAGAAGCATCTAGGGATGTAAGCCAGAGTTTTGTTTGCTTTACCAGCTGTGACATCGTATTGGTGGCACACATTCATATTGTCAGTCATGACCCCCAAGTCCTTTTTGGCTGTCGTGCTAGCGAGCGTACCGCTGCTGAGCCTATAAGCGTGATGCAGGGGTTTTTTTCCCCTGAGTTGGAGTACCTTGCATTTTTCCATATTGAATGTCATTAGGTTTTTATCTGCTCATCTAAGCCTATCAAGGTCAGCCTGGATCACCAGCCTATCCCCGGGTGTGGATGCTCTACCCTAAAGTTTGGTGTCAGCGGTGAACTTGGCCAGTTCGCCTCTGACACCAGTGTCTACATGGTTAATAAAGATGTTAAAGAGTACAGGTCCAAGGATAGAGCCTTGGAGGACACCGCTGGTCACGGAGCACCATGGTGGTTCACTTCTGCCGACTACCGCTCTCTGGGTCCGACCTCTGAGCCAATTCCCCAGACATCAGACTGTGATGTAGCCAAGGTCACAGTTAGCCAATTTTTCCATGAGGAGATTGTAGGACGCCAGATCAAAGGCTTTTTTTAAAGTCCAGATGTATGATGTCGATCTCTTCTCCTTTCTTCAGGTGATATGTCACTTGATCATAGAGGGAAATGAGATTTGGTCAGGCAAGACATACCTGCAACACACCTGTGCTGTCCCTTGGGATGTTGCCATCAGCCAGCTTGTGTAGAATGGTCTCTGATAATTTTTTCCAAAATCTTCACAGGGATTCAGGTCAAGCTGATTGGCCTATAATTCCCTGTATCTACTTTCCTCCCTTGAAGATAGGCACTATGCTGGCGTTCCAGTCCTCGGGTACTTCACTTGAGCACCACAAGTTCTTGAATATCCTTGTCAGTGGCTGGGCTATGATGCCTGACAGCTGCTTAAGGTCTCTGGGGTGCAGACTGTCAGGACCAGGTGACTTGAAGGTGTCCAACCTCTCAGGGTGTTTCTTTACAAGATCTACACCAATGCTGAGTATAAATTCGCCCTCACCGTAGCCATCCCGCATCATGTAAGGCAGGGTAGTCCCTCTAGGCTGGCGAAAAACCAACACAAAGTACCCATTAAGCAGGTTGGCTTTTTCCTGCGTGTCAGTTGTCCCATTTGGTTTAGCAGGGGTCCAGTGTTACCCTTGCTTTTCTTCCAACTCCCCACATATATGAAAAGGGACTTTTTATTGTCCTTGATACGTGTAGCCAGTTGGAGTTCAGTTACAGCCTTGGCTTTCCTGGTTCACTCCCTACAGATACGGACCAGTGCAGAATACTCCTCCTTAGTGGTGGTTCCTGTCTTCCATCCTTTATAAGCCTCTCTTTTTAGACATAGGAGGTCAGTGAGTTTCCTGCTGCGCCAAGG